ATAACCACTGTCAAAAACCTTTCCAAATTCTCCAATTTGGAATAATTGAAAGTTTTTATAGGCAGTCTCTTTTAAAAACAGTAAAAGTTCTTCACCAGCGGGAAACACTTTCTCTTTCCGTATCCTTCCGTTTTGGAGCCGGCCCGACTTCGTCAGCCTTGGCTGGATTTATTGTCGCCGGCTTGAAGAACTTCTCTTGCTTCTTTCAGGGATTTTGCGATATCCCTGAGGTCAGCAAGACATACTCTTCCTGTTCACCGTCTCTTCGGGACGGTTTAGGTCCGATTGGACCACCCAGTGGCGAAAGTATTGGCTGCGGTCTCGGAGCATCGAGACCGCACGTCCATCTCATCGCGACGTTGGCTCCTCCTTCCCTCTGTTTTCCTTTCTTTTATCTTGTTCCCACAGCCAGGGGGCAGATCATGCTAAACAGGATAAGGTTGATGGTCCCAGTTACTTACTGGTCCCCATTGTTGGTATACCAGCTGACAGCGCTGTTTATATAACCACGGATGAAGCCGTCCATCCTTGCTAGAAAACAAGGATTTATAAGACCAGTTTTACTTCTGGGGTGGGGTTTTTTTTTGTGTGTGGGGGACGGGACAGTTGAGGAAATGCATCTGGACAGGGCTTTTCTATGCCAAGGAAGAGCAGGAGCCTTAAGCAGAGTTTGAAGCCTCCTCCTTTTGGGTCTGCTGGATCCAGACCACATGGGGGGTGGCGGGGTGGGGTGGAGGATGTGGGGGGGTTATTGCGGGCACATTTGGGGCCTGGCAGTAGACTTAAAGTATGTTGTTGGTGATAAATGGTTGCATGATTTCATTGTCCCTTTGTGACCCTGATTTTTTTAAAAAACCTTTCAGACCCTGGAGCGATCTTATCTTCTGAAAATCAATTCTAAAGGTTTGTACAACGGCCTCAATTCTTTGTACTTTATTCTTAACTTTTCTGAACGTCCGAAAAGACCAAAGCCCATTTTGGAACTGCCAGGCATCAAAGGGACTCTTCAAAGGAAACCTCCAAACGAGAAAGTGTCCCACTCAGATTCCTCCAAAGGTTTCTGGCCTTTTCAGAAGGTCTCAAAAAACACAATGGGCTTTCCATGCACCCACTGGACCTGCCGGCCTAGTTGATTAAGTAGCGGTGGGCTCTCTCCCACGGGACCCTCCTAGCCAGCTGCCTCCCCCGCTGACTCTGCCCAGTTTAAATCCTGCACGGGTGGCCCATTTGACGCGTCTGCTGAACTGCAGTCCGTGAGCCTTTCTGCCTCTTCGTAACATCTGAAAAAGGTTCTGCTGAAATTCTCTGAAATGGGCTGGCCCAGCTCTCCTCCCAACCGGGTGGATGCATCCCTCGTAAAGGTGGTCCTTGACTTATGACCACAGTTGGAGCCGGAAGGGATTGTTAAGTGGGCCACACCCGATTTCACTACTTTTTTTGGCCATAGTCATTGGAATCGCTGCAGTTGTTAAGCGAGGCACGTGATTGTTAAGCGAACCTGGCTTTGCCTGTCAGAGGCTGTCTGGGAAGGTCACTCATGGCGACCGCCTGACCCCCGTGGCCCTCCAGCCATGTTAAATATATGTGTGGGGGGAGGGGGGCAGCTCCCAAATTTAAGTACACAACTTATGGGGCTGCTACAATGGTCATAAGGCTGAGGACCAGTTGTAAGTCACTTTTTTCAGTGCTGTTGTAACTTCTGAACAAATTGTGGTAAATGAAGAGCTGCAAGTGTTGGTGATATCAGGTTTTAGATTTATTTAACAGAATAACAGGGTTGAAATGTGACTGCTCTGTGTGTGTGTGTGTGTGTGTGTGTGTGTGTCCTTGGAACTTTGGAAGTGGATCTTAAGTACCTTCTGGGCTCCATTGTAACTTTGGACAGTCACTAAACAAGCAGTTGTAAACCAAGGACTACCCGTAAGTGTGGGGACAGGTCTCCCCCACCCAGCCAAATGCGTAACCGTCACAACGTCTCTCTGCCCCCCTGGAAAGCATCTCCCTTCTCTGCCCCCCTGCCTGCAGTGGCCGAGCGTCCCCAGCACATGCTGATGAGGGTCTCGGTGGGCATCCACAAGAACGACATCGAGGCGGCCATTGAGACCTACAACCTCCTGTCCGAGAAGTGGTTCACCCACGCTTCCCCCACCCTCTTCAACGCCGGCACCAACCGCCCTCAGCTCTCCAGGTAAGGGTTGGGGGGGGGGGGGCTTTGGCTGTCTGAGCACTGCAGGAGGAACTGCTGAAGCCAAGCGGCTTGGAAGGTCGAAGAAACGGGGGCTGCTTCCGGCTTAGATCCTCCTCCCCCAACCTGATCTCCAGGTGTGTGGGGCAGTCGCTCCCTTCCTTCTGCAGCTCATGTGGCCACAGCCAGATTTGGGGATCGTCGTCCGATTCCAGCATCTTGGGGCAGCAGCGAAGAAAGATTGAAGGGGTTTTTTTCAGTGGTTGCCTTGGGTCCTGCTCCAATGGCACTTAGCACCAGCGCTGAGACGCATATGCCGCTTCATGGTGCTTTATAGCCCCCTCTTAAGTTTTACAGCTTGTTGCCCCCAACAATCTGGGTCCCCCTTTCCCTGACCTCAGAAGGATGGAAAGCTGAGTCAACCTTGACCAGTCAGGATCGAACTGGTGGCAGCGGGCAGAGTCAGCCTTCCACCCTGCACTCTTAACCACGGGGCCACCCGGGCTCTTGTAATCTGCCGTCCCTTGTAAAGGTCAAGATGACTTGTAATTGTGGCGTTGGGAGATTTATCAAAGTTAGTTGGATAAGGAAAGGCCTTAATTGAGAAAATAGACACAATCATTTACTTGGCCAAGTGCGGTTAGAGATATAAGGGATTTGTCTTTCGGTGTACTTGAAAACAGCAGAATGTAATGATAATAAAGCACACGGCCAAGAGAGGGTGGAAATAAAAGGGATAGAAATCCTGCAGCCGTGTCCTGTTCAGACACATATACATATGAGACATTGCATTTCACCTGCTGTGGGAGTTGGGGGCTCAGCAGAGTGGTGGCACGAGGGAAGACCCTCTCCCTCTCCCTGGCTGTCTGGGCGTGCAAACAAACAGAGACTCCCCTGCCAAGGTTGCCTGGGCAGTTGGAGTTGGGTGTGGAAGGGCAGCCCTCTTGCTGGGCTCAGGGCTGAGCTCTGCCCTGGTTGGGAGCCGGCCTTGCTCTAACGGAGCCTGGGCACCTGTCTTTTCTCCCCCTCCAGCTGCTTCCTCCTGTGCATGAAGGACGACAGCATCGAGGGCATCTACGACACCCTGAAGCACTGCGCGCTCATCTCCAAGTCCGCGGGGGGCATCGGGGTGGCCGTGAGCTGCATCCGGGCCACCGGCAGCTACATTGCTGGGGTGCGTCTGCCGTGGGCAGCCCAGGCGGGTTCCTGGGGGCTCCCAAGGGATGCCCGGGAGGGCAACTGAGGCTGCCTCGGAGGGAGCCTTTCTCCCTGGCTCAGGAGCAGCGCAGGGGGATGCAGCTCACTCTCTCCAATCTCATTTTCCAGACCAATGGCAACTCCAACGGGCTGGTCCCCATGTTGAGGGTCTACAACAACACGGCTCGCTACGTGGACCAAGGGGGGAATAAGGTAGGTGGTCTTCTCCCAAGGGGGCCGGTGGAGACGGGTGTGATTGTCCTAGGGACGTCTTCTCAAGCATAGTTTAAAGCGGGACTCTCCAACCTTGGCAACTTTTAAGATTTGGGGAGTTCAACTCCCAGAATTCCTCGGCTGCAGCTGGCTGAGGAATTCTGGGACTTGAAGTCCACAGGTCTTAAAAGTTGCCAAGCTTGGAGACCCCCGCTTTAAAGTGGGGGCTTGTCTCTGGCGAGGGAGTGAAGGTGTCTCAGCAAAGTGGAGAGAAGAGCAACAAAGAGGATTAGGGGGTTGGAGACTAAAACAGACGAAGAACCGGTTGCAGGAATTTGGGGTATGTCCAATTGAATGAAGAGAAGGACTAGAGCAGTGTTTCTCAACCTTGGCAACTTTAAGTCCTGTGGACTTCAACTCCCAGAATCCCCCAGCCAGCACAGCTGTGCTGGCTGGGGGATTCTGGGAGTTGAAGT